GAATGCAATGAGTGATGGATGTATTTTGTACATGTGTAGAATATGTAGCAGCCAACTGTGTGGAACACTGTCGAATGCTTTTCTGTAGTCTATATATGCCATGTGTATGTTTCTGTGTTGTTTGTGTGCTTGCCGTAGAATGACTGAATCTATGAGTAACTGTTCTTTGCATCCCCTGTGATTTCTACGGCAACCTTTTTGTTGTTCTGTAAGAATGTCGTGTTCTTCAACGTGTTTGTATATTTTGTTTGTGATACAGGATGTCAATAATTTGTAGAGTGTTGGAAGACATGTAATTGGTCTGTATTGTGTGGGGTCTGTGGTGTTGTTGTTTTTAGGTTTCATGTAGGTGATGCCCTGAGTAAGAAATTTTGGCATGCCTTGTGGATTGATGATGATGTGTGTTAGATGTTTGGCTAGTTCCTGGTGCAGTGATGTAAATTTTTTGTACCAGAAATTGTGAATGTTATCTACACCAGGTGTCTTCCAGTTGTGTGTTCTGTTAACAGCGTAGTGGATGTCGTGTACGTTTATTTCAGCACAGGGCATAGTTGGTATGTTGTTATTATTATGTTGGGTTTAGTGGGTTATACTCGGCTTAAACCGGAGACTGTGTACTATGCCTAACTAGAGTCAAGGCAAAGCAACCAAAACAAATTAAATAAGTGTGTCAGTGTCTGTATTCAGGAATTTCCTAACAATGTAACATGTATTCAATATAGTGGCCTTCTGTAGTGTTATGTATGTATTTCTACTCAATTCTAATGTATTATTTATACATTTACAACTACAAAATATATAAAACACTATTTTTTTATCTTTTCTAAGTTATTTTTAAGTTATTGTTACATTTATGTTATGTAAGTTAAGTTTTAGTATCATTTTCCTTCTCCCTCTCTTCTGCCACCAGTTTACACCTCCACCGTCTATCCTCAAAAATAAAGTGCAAATAAAACTATATTTTTTTAATCAATTACTATTCTATTATGGTTATTTATACATTTACAAAACGCATTTTTCTGTGTTTTCCTTACTATAGTTATTATTTTTCAATGTATTACTTCGCTTTAATTTGAGTGTGTTTTTCGTGTTGGAACAAATTATTTGGTTTTACATGTAATTGTATGGGGAGAAATTATTCACCTTACGACATTTTCATGATACTATCTCAGTTTCGGAACGGATTAATTTCGTATGCTGAGGTACCACCGTAGATAAGCATGATATTATTTTGAATAGTGCGGTCTTTGATGCCAGCACTTTGAGTGTAACCTATATAATAATGAAAGATTATTTCAATTCTTTAAGCAATAATATTACTATATATCTTATAATTGATATCAAGCAAAGTTATAGGCCTACAGTCACTAAATTGTCTACCCTCATTTTTTTTTATTTATTAAAATCATTTCTCCCTCATTACAGTTTGCAGAGAAAGAGTTGTGATTGTAAAGTATATAAAAAAATGTCAGTAAAATCCTCCCCAAAGTACCGGTAAAATTCGATTGTATTAGTACCTTTTTAATGACTATTTAATAAATATTATTTTACACCTTTTGGAATAAAATTTACTATTCTACTTAAATTGTTTTAGTTTTAAGCATTTTACCATTAAATTATTTTCTAATTTTCATTTAGAACACGAATCAATCAGAAATACGACTAAAATAAAAATTACTACTTTGGCAGTAAGTAACTTATCATATAAAAACAACTCATGCAATGAAAATAAAAACAGCATTTATTTGTATAATATTCGTTACTGTTCAATATATATGTAGATTTCTCCTTATTGTGAACTTCATACAAAAAACAACGAGTTAATTGTTGATGGCCCAGATTTTAAAATATTAAGCATAGTTGCTCAGAAATTAAACATTGGGTAAGTAAAAAAGTAGTTCATTAGCTATAAATAAGGTACTTTTATAAATAATGTTTTTACAGGTTCGAAATTGTTCAACCTATCGATAAGAAATTTGGAAGTAGTAAACTAAAAGATGGATCATGGAATGGTATAGTTGGACGAGTGCAGAGGAAAGTAAGAGAATAATTAATATAATATAATTCAATTAAAAACTAAAGAGATTCTGGTTTAGATGTATAAAAATATATATACAGTGGAACCTCGGTATACGACCTTAATATGATCCTGATGTTTGAATTTATATTGAATTGGACGTATTCTAAAGAGACGTATACCGAGGTACCACTGTATATATATTTAAACAAACAAGTTTTGATTACAACATAAATAATAAATATACGAGTATTTAAAATAAAAAATCGGTTTTATTGTTCGTTACTTAAAAACGCCGGTGTCAGTTCAAAACAACTAAAACGTTTTCTCTAAAAAGTAAGACAGATTTTGTTCCTGTTAATTTTAAAACGGTTCGAACATTTGATTAAAAAATCGAAATATATAAAAATATTTATAAACAATATCTGAAATGTTATTAATTTAGTACACCAAAGTACTCAATAAAAACTAAACGTAGTAGAAAACAAAAAATCGCATCTAAAATAGTACAGTAGAAGCCGTTCTATAGATTAAGCCTTAATGCTATCCCTCTACCCTCGCAGCAGAATTCCAAAAAATACCTTTTTGGTGTGCGTTTTAATGACGTAATATAACTGTGTAACAAATTTAATCTATTTAGGTTTAGCGCTTTTGCTCTGGGCGATGATGAATCAGTAACCTAGTCAGTCAGTTAGAACAAGTAATTCTTTAGATTTAGATGATTAGTGAAAGAAAAAGCATACAAATGCAACTAAACTCTGTAAAATTCTTATTTGCCTTAATATAGTTAAACTATTTTGCAGTAATTTTAATTATTTATTGTACATTAATTCGTAAATAAAGTGCCATCAACAGCAACAGTACATACTCTAATTTTATTGCACAGATGGCGGTTATAATATACTTATTGTCATTAATAATATTACTTTTTTCCATATGAATATTAAAAGGCTTTACATTAGTTGTATATGTCAACACAACACTGAAGAGGAGTGCCTCTCAGGAGAAGTTTAAATGTGTGAGATCCGAATAGCTCCCGGGTCTAAATTAATAATTTAACAATAAGGGTAAAATTTTGTCATAAAATATTCTTTCGTTTTGAGTAAAAAAAACTAACGTTCTCTAGCGTGGGGAAACAGCTAGGAGAGTCACTTCCTTCCACGGAAGTTAGAACATCTTCTGTTTTTCCCTTATCAGTTAAAAATCTCGCTTCGATGAAAACTGTATACCCCTCATTTCATCTCCTTTCCATCCGTCCACGTGGAAGAATCTTTATACGATGATTGGATATAAATGGGAAGATATAGAGGAAATTGAGGATAATTCGGGGAGTTCGTCAGGAGATCTCATAGTAGAAAGAAGTCTCCATATTTGCTCCCTAAGGCCAATGCCCTTAGTCGTATCACATAGAGAAAATCCAGAGTTAGCGCTTAGAAGATATACTTTAATATTGTGCACATCTCGACTTCCCATGGAATGAAGTTTGAGAACTTTATAAATGAAGTGCTTTTGCCTACCGATGAAGAAGACGAAAGACAACTAAACCAGGTTGTATGTTTAATAATGATTTTGTAAGCTCTCTCTCTCTCAATCTTGTATCAGTTAAAGCAGGGGTGTCCAACCTTTTTTTTCTCTGGGCCGCATTGGAAGAAGTCAAGGAGTTTTGGGCCACTCCTTGACTTCTTCCAATGCGGCCCAGAGAAACAAAATATAATTAAAAAATTAAA